CTAATTTCAAAGGATCCTTAACTTCTCTGCAGACTGTGCCCAATTAACTGAGATAAATAAATTCCCATTTACTCCCTTTTCTTAGTAATCATAGGTTTGAATAATCTAGCATCAAGGTTATCATATGTCTTGTGATATGTATACTTTTGCAAATAACCGCATGTAACAATATATGATGTCTTACCCTGTTAACTCTCTTTACAAGCTTGGTTAATGCTTCTGCCAACTGTTACTGATAAAAAGCTATGAAACTGTGAGATACCTCTGGTAACTGGTGCCAAGAAATGTGAACCATAAAATGTTATTATTGACAAAATGTGACTGTAACTTCGGATCCATACAATGCTCTACTAGTTATGTAGTCAATATATAGGTACCAACAACCCTGAACTTATAAAAGTGGACTGTGAAACTTAATGGGTGATCAGAATCATTTTAGAAAGGCCTTCGGTCTAGCTCTGCCCTCTGGATTCGAATTGAGAAATAAACTTTCTACCAGTCTTTCTGCTTCTCACTTTATTGACATCAAGGGTTAGCAGCTGAGCATTTACTTGAACCATAACATACCTAGTAAATTAATTTTTATTTTTGTTTTTGATTTTTTCAATTCTTACTTTTTTGTTCTGACTTTGTATATAAAATGATATGCTTCAGTATCACTAAGAAGTCAAATCACTGTAAACATTTCTAAACTTTCCCTTTCTGAATTTTCCTCAGCCCAGATAGGTAACAGCTCCCAAACCAACACTGGGACGTAGACCTCACTTGAAATTTCTTTTAGATTTGGAATCTTGCCATTGAGAGAGACTAGGTTATAGTTCCTCATTTTAAGGAGATTATACAGCCATTCTTTATTCATGGAAGCAGAAAGAAAACATTGAGTACATTAGAAAAGAGATAGAATGTGATTTAGAATAGTTTTCTAAACGTTAAGCACCTTATATAAGTGAAAAACCCCAAGACATAATAGTTCTCAGTCTTGTTCATTCCTTGAGAATATTGGTCACTTTACTCTGTTTCTAAGACCTTTTCCTTCTTGTTGGAGAACGTAGCTCTAGTCTGGCCCCTTAACAACAGCAGAAGTAGCTCTGGGGTTGTATTCTCTGCTCCAGACTCAGGACTGAGTGTTGAAAAACTCTTCGCATGTCCCTCTAGGCACGGTAGAGCTCGAGTCTCTTCATAAAGTCCAGAAGATTTAGGTAATATTTTATGCTTTTATTGTTTTATTAAAAGTCTGAAATGTGCTTTTGTTTTTATACAACTAAGAAAAAGGCAGTAGTGGGAAACTTCTGGAGGGGGACACACCTCATCAACAAGGATACTTGCATAATGAACATTTGTAAACCTAACACTGAATTGTACTCCACATCGTTAAAATAAAAAGTGTTTTTAAAAATGCTTACTGAATGTAAGGAGGGATATTTTATAACAATAAAAAAGTTTAATTAATTAGGAAGATAAAAAAACATAAAATTTATCTTTATAGATCTAAGTATATATCTGTATACATTTAGTAAATCCTCATGAACATAAAAGCTGTATTTAAGCAGGTATGCTCTTTTCTTGTTCACAAAATCTTATTGAATTAAGTTTATAAATGTCTACAATAATCACTTATCTGAATTAAAGATAATGACACTCTAGATTCAAAGAACATATTGTGTTAAATTTCAACAAACTTTGAATACTTTAGAAAAAGTAATTCTAATCCTGCAGACAAAGATAACTACGTGTTTATGTGTTCATTCATTGTTTCTGCTTCCCCACACTTAGTTTGCCTTCAAACAAAATTGATACTAATTATTTAAACCCCTACTATGAGCATCTTTGCCACTTCTTTGCGGAACTCCTGTTTTCTATTGTCTATTGTATAGATTGTGTCCAAAATTCTCCAGGAAATTTGTCTGGCTGAGAATTTCCCAACGAATAAACTGAGTTGTGCCTTGATATCTTTACCTGAAAACAGTGCATAACATTCTTCCTTATAGGATTGATGGAATTATCAAACGAGTAACATGTAAAAGGATCTGAAAATGTTATTTACTTAGTGTGTAGTCTATAAATAGACATTCTCTTATCCTCTTACATTCACTATTAAATTTATGATTAAGCTTAATTTCATAACTATTCTGAATGCCAATGATATTCCCTTCCTCAAAATAAAGAACTGAAACTTGCCTTCAATCTTTTGATCACAATTTATACAACATGGTTGACCTTGCTCAGTAGTACATATTTATATTCCTAATTCCAAAACTTAACCATTTTCATGATTCATATTTATTTTAATAATATATTACCCTCAGGTGTGATTTGATTATTTAATGAGCATGTTTTGTTTCTTTCCTACTAAGCTCATGGAGGCTACGCCTAACTCTTGAACTAAAATATAAACTGAATTAATGTAATAAGCTTTAATTTTAAAGACATAAAACTCATGGCCTATTTTTGCTCACAAGTTATTTTAAAACAGAATTAGTGATATTCTCTGCCTTCAGTTGTTATATGCCAAGACTTAAATGTAGGTTTACAGGACAGTACATTGAACAGTTCTTATAGATGTTACTCTTTCTATACTAAGCAAAGGACAATTTGACACAGGAAAATATTCTCTGTGAGTAGAAAAATCTTTCTTTGCCCAATTCAAATCACACAGAAAATGTAAATAAATAAATAAATAAACCTTTATTTCTCACAGTCGTAACTGAGATTTTACAGAATAGTTTCTCTCTCGAACTGGCAGACTCTAACCTTCTGCAGTAATCTTGGCTTGAGCAAATATCTGGATGATCTTCCTTCGTATTTCCTTAGTCTTCACAGTATAGACTATGGGGTTTAGCACAGGAGGTACAAGAAGGTAAGTATTTGCCATGAGGGCATGAGTCAGTGGTGACAGGTGCTTTCCAAAGCGATGGATGACAGACACTCCAATGAGTGGCACATAGAAGATGAGTACAGCACAGATGTGTGAAAGACAAGTATTGAGTGCCTTGAACTGACTCTCCCCTGAGGCAATTGCCATTACTGTTTTCAGTATAAACACATAGGAGAGAAGGATGGATAGGGAGTCAGAACCCTTGGTGAAGATGACAACAATGAGGCCATAGAGACTATTGACACGGGTGCTGGCACAGGCAAGGCGCATGACATCTTGGTGGAGGCAGAAGGAGTGGGAGAGAATGTTGGAGTGGTAAAAGGGGAGCCGCTTGATGAGGAAAGGCACAGGGAAGACCACACAGGCTGCCCTTGACAAAATGACTATCCCCATTTTGCAGACCAGACCGTTGGTTAGGATGATGCCATACCTGAGGGGGCTCCAGATTGCCACAACGCGGTCAAAGGCCATAGCCACCAGCACGCCAGACTCAATGGCTGAGAAAGTGTGGATGAAGTACATCTGAGTAAGACAGGCATCAAAGGCAATGAACTTGTAGTTAAACCAGAATATGCCTAGCATAGAGGGCAAAGCGCAGAAGGCAAGTCCCATGTCTGCCAATGCCAACATGCACAGAAAGTAGTACATAGGGATATGCAGGGATGATTCAGACTTGATGGTGGCAACGATGGTGCTGTTGCCCAAGAGGGCAATGGCGTATATAGCTCCCAATGGGAATGCCATCCAGTAGTACTTTTGCTCAAGCCCTGGAATTCCAGTTAAGACAAAGTAAAGGTGCTAGAACTGGGAGAAGTTATTATCTGCCATGATGAAGATATGAAGTAGGCATGAGATGGGAACTTGTGAAATCCTGATGAGTGTCTTCCTAAAAATACAGAACAAAGCTTAATGATATGTTAGACTCTGACTTCCCTGGAGATGAAGTCATTTTATTTCCATGTGGGTATGTGGAAGTGAGGAGGGTCAAAGTGTAAGAGAGGAAAGAATTCCTCCAATTGTTATTCCAAAGTATATTCTGTGAAGGAAATTTTTACTGACCAAAGGGAAAATGACTCACCCAAGTATAAATAAGGCATATTCAGTACAAAACAAACACACTGCAGCACCAACTCAAGGTAAAACATCTTCTGCCTCTCCTGTTCTTTCTTTCTTGTTTCTAGTCAATATTTTGCAAGCTGTGAAGTCAGAGGCTGAGGACACCATAACTCAATCAATATAAATACAACAGAGTCAATATAAAATATTAATTATCTGATGACCCACAAATAATTCTACTCCTACCTGTCCATACTCCCTATGCCCAGGATTCTCATATAGGCAATAGATCTTGTTCCTAGGATCGAGGTGTAAATACCTAGTACACACGCTTAGGCTTTCAACTGAGCATGCCCTTCCTTTGTTCCCCCATAGCCTCAGAATCATCCTCAACTCGAAGACCACAGACAGTAACTTCAGTCATTTAAAATTGAATGTGTTTTTTTTCCCAAATTAGTGAATTCTTAGTAGGTGGGTGAGTAAATTATATTTGAAGCAGGAACAATAGCAATTCTTTTTTAGAGTAATTCATTCCATCCAACAAAAAATAAGATACACAGGATACAACTGCAGACTTTTTCAGGATCAGGATTATCTGGCAATCTCTACTACTAAGGCACAGTGATCACGCCACATCCCAATAGAGGCCTCAATGGGGAAATCTGGAAATCCAAAACAGTGCTTATCCATCTTTAGTGCACATATGAATTATTGCAGGAAACTTATTAACATGTAGATTTTAATTCAGTATGGGTGGGGTCCAAGACTATTTAATTTTTTTATTCCATTTTAATTTTCGATTCAGGGGTATACATGCATGTTTGTTACATGGAAATATTGTATAGTGGTGGAGATTTACTTCTGTATTCCTTGTAAATTTTTAATAATTTGTAATAATTTACTCTCTTCTCTGAAATATCAGGCATCCAACCCTCAGGATATATATGTATATACATACACACATGTGTATATCTGGTTCCTTATCATGACAAATCAAAAAAATGATAAATGTTTTTAAAGTCTCCCCATAAATTCTCTTTAAAATATTTCTAATTAAGTTTTCCCCATCCTTAGCCAGAGATTTTTATATACTTCTAGAAAATATACATTTCATTCCATTGCTCATGAAAAACAACTGATTGTTAGTTCAAATATGTGAACTATAGACTGTCAACGTGCATGTCTGTCTTTCCATTAAACTGTTGGTTTAGTTTTTGTGTGTGTTTGTAATTTTTGAGTCAGAAAATGCTTATTAAGTTTATTACATCATTGTTACAAAGAGTAGGTGTAAGGAAACTTTTAAGAAGTGAATAAATTATTAAGACAAGGACAAAGTAAGGAAGGAGAAAGTAAGGAAGAAGATTTTAAAAATAGAAGCAGAAAAACAGAAATTCAAAGAATAGCAGACCAAAAAAATTTATCTATTTCACTTTTTGCTATTTAAAAAAAAACCAGAAGCTTAGATGAAAAAAATACTTGCCCTGAGTCAATACCTTGTTAGTAGCAAAACAGACAAGAAGAGAGGGATACTGTAAAACTTGGTGAGGGAAATTACAACTAAGTGCAATGGGAGATTGGGAGCTCAATTAGAGAAGACAAAGTGAGATTGCATCTCCTGACCAAGGCCCTTTCTCCCTGACATGTGTCCTCAGATTTTATTTATCTATGTTGCTCAGAGTAGAAAACAGACAGAGTTGAAGTCGATCCCATGACGATAAAGCTCTTAGACCCCAAGTTCTGCCTTTGATAATTTTATCTGACCGTGACTCTCTGAGGCCCTATACTATTACACTTGTGGGAAAACAGACTGTGTAAGTGTTCTATATCTATCCCCTAAGCTCCCACCCATTGTTTGGCCTCATCATAGATGGAAAATAAAATAGATCGTAAAATCTCTTTATTATGTAAGTAGTGGCTAACAAATGAACAAAAAACACATTTTTATTTGCTATAATAGGAGAACCTCCAGGTTTCCGAGCATTTTAGGACATTTGTGGATAATAGAGTAATATTTGGTCTTTTTATCCTTTTGTTATAGGCCAGAGGTCTGGGGAAAAGGGTTTCTTACATTTCATGTTTAATTAATTCAAAGTTGTGTATCTAAATGTACTAAGATAACTTGTTTAAAACAGGAGATATTTTCCTTGATTGTTGTAACTCTCTGTTAGCCTAGGCTGCAAATTCTAAAATGTTATCTTAATATGTCAGTGGTCAAGTACAAGAAAATGTCAGCATAATCAGGAGGTCTCAAGATGTCAAACTTCATGTTGGCTTCTTTAATTGTTAACTGGAGTGGGTAAAAGATACTGAACTGCACATAACATAAACAATGATTTGTAGACTAGATAGTTATTTATTGTGTCTCAATCTATATGATGCCCTTGGCTCTTTTGTTCAGGAGGCAGTGGTTTTCAAGGCATTGGCCCAACTCTGTCTCCCTTTGCCTACAAAGAGTAATTCTCTCCCTTTTTCTCAAACTTCGTCTCCTAGATTCATTGCATTATGGGAGCAAAGACTGTTATGGATTATACTTTATTACATTGGAATGTATAATAGGCAAGATTAACATGAAAAAACAAAAATAAAAATCTTCTGGATGTAGGGGTTAATTGTAACCACCTCTTACCTGATTACCATGGCCATTTCTTTACTAGACTCTGGTGTGGCCATGTGCTCTTTGGGCTATGACTGTTGTGATATTTCCTGCCTTCGGCCCACTCTCCTCCCTTGAGGAGGTGAATCCTCTCCTTCTCTCTCTCTCTCCAACTTACTTTCTAAATAAACCATATTTTTTAATCTAAAAAGAAAAAAAGACGTCGATTCCCAAATCCCAATCACTCTAGTTTATAGAGAAAGGAATTTCAAAGACCCAATATCTACTCAATATAGAATTATGCATGCATTATTCTATAGGTGGCACTTACCTTTTGCCTTCATTAGTTCCAGGGACTGGGAGCTCCCTACTTTCAAAGGCAATTCATTCACTTTAGAGGATCAGATTCCTATCCACCTCATAGAAAAGGATCATCTATGTAGCATTATGTTAAAGAAGTTGATTGACTTCACATCTTTCCCTTGAAGTAAATGTGAATGAGAAAAAGGACAAGACACAGGATATTAGTGAGAAATGAAAAACAAGGAAGATAAGGGGATAAGAAAAGGAGTGGTTGGGAGCCAATTAGAGACTTTAGTAATGATATCTGAACATATTATGTCAACAGGCCTGGTTTTATGCAAACTTACCTGGCTGTTGAGAGGAGCCCCTGCTAAAAGAAGATTCTTATAGCTTAAGGCTCATCTGGCAAAACCATTGTCACTACCCTTTGAAGACTTTTATATCCTGAGATGCTATAGTATTCCTCTCCTTACTGTGAAATGGAGAATTTCACAGAGCCACAAACATGCTTATTCCCCAGAGCTTCCAAGTCTGAAGAGATGTCTCCAAGGATGTTAAATCACTACCTAGATTCTCATTCTGGAAAATGAGATAGTATTGAGGGGGTTATTGAGAAAGTGTGTGTGTGTATATATGTGTGCACATGTGTGTGTGCGCACACACATTTGAGAGATTGGGAAGTTCTAGAGGTTGGTTACTGCTCAATCACCATCCCTAAGGCCATCTTCATCACTCCACTGTTTATATGCACTGAGTAAATAATTGTTGCCTTCATCATCTCAAAACATGGGAAAACAAGCAAAACAACTCATGAAAAAGTGACTCCAATATTTTCTCATCCAACAGACATTCTAAAGTTGAAAGAATTTTTATAAATAACTTTCTTCTGATGTTTCGCCTGATTTCTTAATCTTCAGTATCAATTTAATAAATCTAATCTTAATTCTGTGCAAAAGGAAATCAAATGTCCTTCAGAAAATCATTAACCAGTACCACAATCAATCAAAAGACAATGAACATTCTAAAATGCCCTATTATCACATCCAAATGTTGCTGCCCCTACCTACCCTAGAAAGAACATTAACAGCTAGGCTCAGTGGCTCAGCCTGTAATCCCGCGCCTTTGGGAGGCTGAGGTGAGTGGATTGACTGAGCCCTCGGGTTCGAGACCTGCCTGGGCAGCGAGACCTCATCTCTACAATAAATCAAAAAATCAGCCGGGCGTGGTAGCACGCGCCTGTAATTCCGGCTACTCGGAAGGCTGAGGCAGAAGGATCGCCGGAGCCCAGCAGGTCGAGGCTGCGGTGGCCGGGAGCGGCCACTGCACTCCAGTCTGGGCGACACAGTGAGACTCCAACTCAAAAAAAGAGAAACAACATTAACAACAGCAGCAATAATAATAATATTCTGTATTAATGTGGAGCTTTATTAGTCATAATATTTATCACATTCTTTTTATATTTTAGCCATTATAACACTCATAAATCCTCACAAAATGATCCTCCTGTGAAGTGGATATGGTATTATCATCTTCATTATTTGCAAGATAAAAGAGAATCACATTGGTAATTGACCAGAGTCATCATATAATTATAAAAACTAGATTGTAGAAATTACTTAAGATAGAAATAAGAGAGTGGGGGCTTCTTACTGCCCTAGGTGTCTTCTGGAATTCTTGAATCTTGAAGGTCACCATGGCCAAGTAAGGAAGAAATGCTCATAAAAATGAGGCTCATATCCTAAGTTCTTTTATTCGTTTATCGTTCCTCAACACAATAGTGCCAGAGTAATTAAATGTTAATGCAGATCACTCTTCCGATGCCATCATCTCTCAACACATAGAGTTCCATAATTCAAATAAAATTCATCTCTACATC